AGACGAACTTGCTGGAGTTTTTCTTTGGCACCAGAAAAATCGGGAGTAAAATCCTGGAGTTATGCACACCTGATCTAGGTGTTCTATTGCATGTTTCTCCAGTAGAGTTTGGATTGTAGTCGAAAGGACTGCAGCCCCATCCAGAGGATATATTTGCTGCAAGGGTTGAGTGGTGAGGGTGGATCCCCGACCACAGGCAGTCGATAGCCGTGGAATGAGAGTCATTGTGACAAAAGGATCTCCCAGAACCTCCCAGTTGGGAGCAAACAGACCTAACCTCCTCCTACAGGGGAATCGAACACTGGAACCACCGGATCCGCAGAACCAATCCGAGCTCTGACTTCCGTGGAGTCACTGTTTGACTGTCTATGTCCAGTTCCCGTGTCGGGTCGATAGGGCGACGGATGCGAACCACGAAATGGCCTCCTGCCTCTGCCACGCAGCTTGAGAAGGCCCAAGTGCTTTCATACAGTCCCGAGGTCTGGGTTGGAAGGGTAATTAAAGCGTTCGGGCGATGCCGAATAGAATCTTGGAGCTGACTTTTTGCAATTCCAAGAGATCAACAGATACTTGAAATTGGTTAAGACGGTCCACCTTGGATGATGCGATTTCAGCAATAGCCCCACTGAACACCGTATCCCCCGACCATGGTTGACGAAATAATTCAGCCTTGAATCTATCTTCCCATGAGGAGAAATTCAACGGACCTCGGCCGCCAGATTGCAAGTAAATAGCCAAAAATGAGACAATTGCTCAAGACCACCTGAATTGGTCTAAAATCAGAGTCATACTACCCCTGATGTATGCGCCCTGGTCCAGATATGCATGGTTGACCGCCTCAACAGCCGCCAACAGCTGAAATAATGCAGCTAATGGCAGGGATAGCATGGCTAACCGTGAGTATCTAAGTGAGCTTAATTCCCTGTCTTCCACCAAATACGGCGAAATGGAACGCTTTGCCACAGACCATGGAAATGTCATCATCGACTGAAGGTGCCGCTGACCAAAGTTTCACACCATGAGTATGTGCCGTGGATGGTCTGAACCTTGAGCAGACAAACCATCCTTCGTCCCTTCTAAGCTTGTTGAAAGCCGCCAAGAGAAGAAGGCAATTGTTGAAGACATGGGCTTAGGGAAGTGTGATACTGGCAACATCTCTATTAGTCATGGCATAAGACGGTGGCCAAATCATCTGGAGATTTACTAAGAGGTAGCTGAAGTTTTTCAACTATCCAGGCTAACACGTGAGCCGGTTCAACAACATCAAAACTGCCATCAGGAGTGGAGATGTCTGACTGCCCAGGTGAAGGGAAAGTAGTCTGAGATCGAAGTCCGATCCCTCAAATCCTCGAACGATTATTGCTGGCACGCCAGACGATTGTTGAACATGTGAGGACGAGTGACACTGATTCCAAGCAGACGAACGCACGGCATGGTATCTAAATCCGGCGCTGGAGCCGAATCAATAGCAGGATTCCAAGACTCAGCAATAATCTGTGACCGGGCAAAATAGAAGTGGAAAGGCGGAAGGTGAACGCTGATCCACTGAAGCTTAACGCTGCCTAGCAGGTGAAACCACCCGCACAGAACGGCGCGCTGATTGATGTACTATCATGGGAAGGCACTGACCGTAAGACGCTACTAGCACAAGGCTGGCTAGAGGGGATATTCTGATTCCCCTGAGGTGAATGAGACCGATTTCTATTATCCCTCTGACGAAAGACACCAAGCCGTTAGGTGAACCGGATGGAAATGGCGAACCACTTCGACTAGGTGAGACTGAACGACTACGGAATCAAAACGCTGTGGTGAGTCGAACGGAAACACCTGTTGAGGTGAATTGAGTCGGAATGTGAAGCGGTTCGTCCCTGGTGAACCTATTTGAGTACGCGAAACAGTACGGCCAGAGGAACCCATTCGACTACGTGAATCAGTTCGATCAACTGAACTCATTCGAGGATGTTCTGGTGAGCCGGTTCGCCGTGGAGCCGGTTCGGCAGGGTGAGTCGGTTCGGGTGAGCCGGGTCGAGCCGCCTCGGGCGATGTGAGTCGCCTTCGCAGGGTGAGCCGGTTCGGTAAGGTGAGCCGGTTCGCTATGAGTCGGCTCGGCTGTGTGAGCCAGCTCGGCGATGTGAGTCGGTTCGCAAGGTGAGCCGGTTCGGCAGGTGAGCCGGTTCGCTATGTGAGTCGGCTCGAAGTGAACGAGACCTAGAACGACTTTGCCAGCCGTGGAAGAACGATTCAACCTTCGCACCAGATGGTGATTCAACTCGTGGGTGAATTGTTCCGCTTAGATGAAACCGTGGAATTAGGAGAACGGGTACGCTCCAACCGCCGATCCCCGCTTTGACGATGAATGCTTAGAAGTTCTCGGTCTGTGATCGCTCGAAGAAACAGACCTACGAGATAATGTAGATCGCAGGTCTGGCGTGAAGAAATATCGGTCGCTACTACCACCCTGGTACGCCCTGAGAACGTGAACTGGGTGAGGGAACTCCTCCCTAAAAGCCGCCTCACGCTCTCAGATAAATAGGAATCTGACGGTTGCCCATAAAATCTTCGCCAGGCGACGGCCGATTGAGAACGGTGAGCAGTGAGGGTGGGGCGATCTAAGCATTGTTTCTTAGCGGAGATGGACCAGACCCCGCAGAAATAGTCCTAGCCCTATCTGCCAAACGCCTGGCACAAGCACGCTTGTAAGATTTAAACGCCATTAGACAGACCTGAACACTTAGGACAGCTGCAGTGTCCCAGTCACAAGCACCCACACAATCAACACACGATGTGAGGGTCCCATGCTGAAAATACTTTATTACAACGGACGAAAACTTCCGCTTACTGGCCTTAACAGGCTTAACCATTTTGAGCAATTCTCTGATCGAAAATTTTCCACGCCCACTCAGTGGAGCCACAAGAAAGAGAATGAGTATGTGAGGTGATCACGCAGGAGGATCATGCGCATGCCTCGTGGCTGTCATGGACTAGTGAGCACCCACTGAGACAGGAAGGCATGCACAGCACGGGAGAGGGGCAAGGTAGGTCTTGAGCAAAGTTTTAATTGCTTTCCACTCATGGTCGAATGAAGAGAGAGAGGTGCAAGTCGTGAGATAGGATAAGTTTAAAAAACTTACAGTTTTTCACACCTGAATATAAATGTTTTTAACAAACTATCATTAGAACAGCCAGGTGTGCGAGTTGTATGTGTGAAATTTCAATTTCACTTCATTTTACCTAGTAATCAACAAGCGTGTGCAGTGAAATAGCATTTATTAGATTTTGTGTTAGAGGGAAATTCATCGGTCTCAAATGAAAGCAAACGGACTGTACACATGGTATACATATTTGCAGCTTATCTATATCATTTTTGTGGCTTGCGTGTATAGTGCTTGGTGTATCTGAGCACCATGTTTGTGGCTTGTGTGCATCACCTTAGTTGCTTGTGTGCAGCATGTTAGTGGCTTGTGTGCAGCATGTTCGTGACAGCATGTTAGTGGCTTGTGTGCAGCATGTTAGTGGCTTGTGTGCAGCATGTTTGTGGCTTGTGTGCATCACCTAAGTGGCTTGTGTGCATCACCTTAGTGGCTTGTGTGCAGCATGTTAGTGACAGCATGTTAGTGGCTTGTGTGCAGCACCTTAGTGGCTTGCGTGCAGCATGTTGGTGGCTTGTGTGCAGCATGTTAGTGGCTTGTCTGCAGCATGTAAGTGGCTTGTGTGCATCGTGTTAGTGGCTTGTGTGCATCTTGTTTGCATCGTGTTAGTGGCTTGTGTGCATCATGTTAGTGGCTTGTGTGCATCATGTTGGTGGCTTGTGTGCATCATGTTGGTGGCTTGTGTGCATCATGTAAGTGGCTTGTGTGCATCATGTTAGTGGCTTGTGTGAATCATGTTGGTGGCTTGTGTGCAGCATGTTGATGGCTTGTGTGCATCACCTTAGTGGCTTGTGTGCATCACGTTAGTGGCTTGTGTGCATGATGTTTGTGGCTTGTGTGCATGATGTTAGTGGCTTGTGAGCATGATGTTAGTGGCTTGTGTGCAGCATGTTAGTGGCTTGATGTTAGTGGCTTGTGTGCATGATGTTAGTGGCTTGTGTGCATGATGTTAGTGGCTTGTGTGCATGTTAGTGGCTTGTGTGCATGATGTTAGTGGCTTGTGTGCAGCATGTTAGTGGTTTGTGTGCATGATGTTAGTGGCTTGTGTGCAGCATGTTAGTAGCTTGTGTGCATGATGTTAGTGGCTTGTGTGCAGCATGTTAGTAGCTTGTGTGCATGATGTTAGTGGCTTGTGTGCATGATGTTAGTGGCTTGTTTGCATGATGTTAGTGGCTTGTGTGCATGATGTTAGTGGCTTGTGTGCATGATGTTAGTGGCTTGTGTGCATGATGTTAGTGGCTTGTGTGCATGATGTTAGTGGCTTGTGTGCATGATGTTAGTGGCTTGTGTGCATGATGTTAGTGGCTTGTGTGCATGATGTTAGTGGCTTGTGTGCATGATGTTAGTGGCTTGTGTGCATGATGTTAGTGGCTTGTGTGCATGATGTTAGTGGCTTGTTTGCATCATGTTAGTGGCTTGTGTGCATCATGTTAGTGGCTTGTGTGCATCATGTTAGTGGCTTGTGTGCATCAAGTTCGTGGCTTGTGTGCATCATGTTCGTGGTTTGTGTGCATCATGTTCGTGGCTTGTGTGCATCATGTTCATGGCTTGTGTGCATCATGTTAGAGGTTTGCATAACATTTGTGCATAATGTCTTTTTTCATGTGTATTTAGTGTGTAGCCTGTGTGCATCATGTGTGACTTGTCTTCCTCATGTTTGTAGTTTGTGAGCATCATGTTTGTGGCAAGTGTGTAGCCTGTAAGTCATGTTGGTGTACCATGTTTGCAGCTTGTGTTCAGCATGCACAAACCTTGTGAATAGCATGAGAAATGGTATGGATCTTCATTGAAAATAGCTTGTGTGAAGGGTTAAAATTTGATTCAGTTTATTTAACAAAACTGACTCTGTAATTACAGTTCAGTTCTGAAGGACTGTTTCATACTCACAGGTGGTAGATCATAGTACATCTGCAACTTTGTTTTTAGAGGTGCTATTTTCTGCTTCAGAGCCTGGAGCTCCTAAAACATAAAGAGAATTGCCAACATCTAAAAGGGACACTAGTAAACGCCATATTGATAGTAAATCAGTTTTGTCTCAGTTGTCTAAAAGTATTTGTAAAAGGTTCGTTACTGGATTAAACACATTTTGAAAATGTTACAAATCATAAAGACTTTAATAATATTGCACGAGTGAGATCTTTATCACTTTGGTTTACCTTCTAATTACTCCTGATTTCCACACCAGTGTCAGGTGGTACAGTGAAGGGTCACTGACTGATGAAATGAATGTGTTAATGTGATAAAGGTAGTACAACCAGGGATCAAAGATTGTAGTGATGAAGGGACATTACCTCTGATTTCTTCACCAGTGTCAGGTGGTACAGTGAAGGGTCACTGACTGATGAAATGAATGTGTTCATGTGATAAAGGTAGTACAACCAGGGATCAAAGATTGTAGTGATGAAGGGACATTACCTCTGATTTCTTCACCAGTGTCAGGTGGTACAGTGAAGGGTCACTGACTGATGAAATGAATGTGTTAATGTGATAAAGGTAGTACAACCAGGGGTCAAAGATTGTAGTGATGAAGGGACATTACCTCTGATTTCTTCACCAGTGTCTGGTGGTACAGTGAAGGGTCAAAGATTGTAGTGATGACTGACTGACTGAGTTTGGTTTTACGCCGCTTTTAGCAATATTCCAGCAACATCACAGCGGGGAACATCAGAAATGAGCTTCACACATTGTACCCATTGTAGTGATGAAGGGACATTACCTCTGATTTCTTCACCATTGTCTGGTGGTACAGCGAGGGGTCAAAGATTGTAGTGGTGAAGGGACATTACCTCTGATTTCTTCACCAGTGTCTGGTGGTACAACCAGGGATCAAAGATTGTAGTGATGAAGGGACATTACCTCTGATTTCTTCACCAGTGTCTGGTGGTACAACCAGGGTCAAAGATTGTAGTGATGAAGGGACATTACCTCTGATTTCTTCACCAGTGTCTGGTGGTACAACCAGGGTCAAAGATTGTAGTGATGAAGGGACATTACCTCTGATTTCTTCACCAGTGTCTGGTGGTACAGCGAGGGGTCAAAGATTGTAGTGGTGAAGGGACATTACCTCTGATTTCTTCACCAGTGTCTGGTGGTACAGCCAGGGGTCAGCTCCCACCCTGGTTAGTTCTGCCTGCCGGATTAAACAGTGGAAGATGTTAGGATTATACAAAACTTAGCTCATCCCATTACCAAACATGAAATAAGGATAACTGAAAGTGGAATATGTCAAACACAAATTCAATTTGACAGATTAAATGTGAAATCCTGATCAGTTTCCTTGCCTGGGTATGATTCGCGAATTGCTGAAACCTATGGTTGGATCGGTGTATTGGTGAGTCCCCACAGTAATAATTATGTGTCCATTTACATAGCACCAAACTCCACACCAGGTACGCTCATAGCACTAACAATGAATAGCACAGAACACTATCACCCTGGGCCTAAATTTTCGAAGCTCTCTTAGCGCTAAGATAGTCGTAAGTTAATGTTAATGTATGGCACTTACGACTGTCTTAGCTCTAAGAGAGCTTCAAAAATCTAGACCCTGGATAGTAAGCCTGTAACTATGTATTGCACACAACAAGGCCTATATTTCGTATCAGTTGGTCATAACTGTGATCAGTAGGCACCATTGACGACTGAGAAACCACAGAAGATATTTGCTTGTCTTGTCTTGATTATTTACAGTTTGTTAAATATTTTTTTATTATTACCAAGTGTGATGTTAAAAAACAAATAAACAAAACCTCCTTTAGAACATGGATCATGAGGATGCGAAGATTGGGGAGGCAAGAGCAAACACAGAACTCTTGGGATCTTATTCTTGTTGGCAAACCACTTAATTATGAAGAAAGAAGTTAACACAAAGTGGTCTACCTGAAGCTTCTGCATGGAGCCCTTGTACTGCTTGGCCTTGTCGATGAGGAAGCTCACTTTCTTCCGTCTCTTCTCAGTCTCTGGACGTTGAGTGACACTTTTCTCCTCCAGGTGATGGAGAGTTCTAGAAAATTAGATAACCTGTCATAGATGTACCCTCTTCATTGTTGTGTGCAGAGTGTTTTTAGGCCAAATAACATACTACTTTCATTCACACAGGAAACAATAATGGATTTTATCTGCATGTAACCCTGTTAAACGTTCAGGGGTCCTTGGGGTCTTCTTATACAAACATTCCACCCATGTAACCCCCTCTAATGAAGTTTTAAAAGCAGCTTCACCCGAATGTCTCATTTAAAAGAGCTATTGGAGCATGTACAAGTAATGAGTGAGTGAGTGAGTTTAGTTACACACCACACTCAGCGATATTCCAGCTATATGGCGGCGGTCTGTAAATAATCGAGTCCGGACCAGACAATCCAGTGATCAACAGCCTGAGCATCGATCTACGCAATTGGGATACGATGCCATGTGCCAACCAAGTCAGCCAGCCTGATCACCTGATTCCGATAGTCACCTCTTTTGACAAGCATGGGTTACTGAAGAAAAATTCTAGCCCGGATCTTCATGGGTCTTACAAGTAATGAGAAGGATAGGTGCATATCATAGTGTCAAAATGTTTAGAGTCCTCTAGCTTAAATTATATCTGGATAATATTTTCAGTACATCTGGTCTTCAATGTGGACTTGTACAAGCTGATATCACAAGACTGAAAAATATTATTCTGGACACAGGCTGTAGACTGACTGACTGAGTTTAGTTTTACGCCGCTTTTAGCAATATTCCAGCAATATCACGGCGGGGGACACCAGAAATTGGCTTAACACATTGTGCCCATGTGGGGAATCGAACCTGGGTCTTCGGCGTGACGAGCCAACGCTTTAACCACTAGGCTACCCCACCACCTACAGGCTGTAGACAACTGGCTAAAGCAGCATATAGATAGTGCTGCCTCTACCTGTTTCTCAGTCCTATCACAGAGGCCAATTTGAAGGGTTAAAGGAGACCACATTTAAAGCCCTTCCCTCATAAAGGATCTTAATTAAGTTGACTCCAATTCAATGGACACTTGACACAAAAGTACATCTTTCTGTAGACACAGTAGGAATTGGATCTGGCACTCAGACTATGGATTATCTGGAAAGTTATTTGTACCAAGAACCCACATACTTGAGCAAGGAGTTGTACTTGTGCAGGGCAGACTTTGACTTTTGTGTGAACTCAGCCAGACATCGCTCCTCCTGTGTCTTGGTCTCGGCCGTCTTTGTCAGCTCACTAGAGAGGTTCTGGAGAGCCAGTAGGTAGCTACAATATACATACAAGCTGCAACATTAACAAGGAAGCTCAACTGATAGGCATTTCGTTAGAGTTGATTGATTGATAGAGTTGATTGAGTGAGTGAGGTTTTACACCGCTTTTAGCAATATTCCAGCAATATCATGACAGGGGACACCAGAAATGGGCTTCATACATTGTGCCCATGTGGGTAATCGAATCCGGGTCTTTGGCGTGGGCATTTCTTAGAAGATCAATAATGTAATTTTCTGAGTAAAATTGATATTTTATACTTATCCTGACTCATGCTCTTTTGCTTGTCCCCTTCCTCTTGCGAACATAGTGGAACACTTGTATCTCCTTAATTGAAGCTCCCTTCAATGTAAAATCACTAATTGGTACTCACCCACGAGTTACCTCCCCTGCCGTAAGCTCGGGAACAGGTGTCGCCACCCTCTGGCCTCATGCTTCACTCTCTCCTGATTTTATGAGCCCAACACTTGAATTTACAGGAAATCCAAAGTGTTATGTGGGGAGGATGGGAGGGAAGTAACCTCATGAGTCAGGATAAGTATAAAATATCAATTTTACTCAGAAAATTACATATTTTTCCTTATCCTGACTCATGCTCTTTGCTTGTAGAATCCAATCGAGAGGTGGTGGGTAAACAGAATACTTTGGATTAATTAGTGATTTAAGTAAGGATATTGTAATAACCCCTCTTGAACTTCATAAGGCATTGAGACTTAGGATATTTCCTTATAATAAGCCATGGAGATATATACACTATAAGTGGGGTATTACCTTACTAATATACTGATATATCAATATATATATATAAACTGCTACTCTAACGAGCTGTACACTGAATATAACTCAGTATGAGCTTAAGGTTGAATAACCTAAGCTAAATATGTACATAGCCCTAGAACTCCATGGAGTTATAAGCTAGTGAATATATGTATCATATATCTAATAATCTTCGTGGGGTGAATATTAACGCCTCTGAGGGACTGTCAATTGCTGAGCTTGTAGGGACCAAAGGACCAAAATGATGAATGCCAGAGACGCCCTCGGTGGTGATATCTCTGAGATAGTGATTAGCAAACACCATGTTAGATTTCCAAAAGCATCCTTCCATAATTGTATTCAATGAACAGTTACCATGAAGGGCGCAGGTGGATGCCAATGCCCTGATTTCATGAGGATTTGATGCTGTTGAGGGTCCAGTCCTGCTGCCTTATAGGCTGCGAAATGACAGTTCTTATCCATATTGATATGGTGGTGCGAGACTTCTGTCTGATTTGTGGCGATAACGGGATGAACAATCTTCTGAGCGATCTTAGCTTTGTTTTGGAACGACGTAAATAGATTATGAGAGCTCGTTACTGGGCATAGAGATAAGTCCAATGTATCTTGAGATCCAAGAATTGAGGATAGCAGCGAGGGATGTGAAATAACCTGTCTGGTTGACCTGGTAGTTGATTTTTTAGCGATGAAATCCCATCTTAATCCCAGGTGCTTGTCTTTTGATTTTCATCAAACTGTATCCTCTCATAATCTAGAGCATGAATTTCAGATATTCTGGCTGCCGTGGCTAGCGATAACAGGAAGACTGTTTTCTGTGAGAGAAATTCAAACGTTGTCGATTCCAATGGTTCGTAATCCTCACTTGTGAGGTGTCGTAAAACTACATTCAGATCCCAAGCTGGCGGGAATTTCCTTTTGGTCCTCCAATCGGAAAGCACGTAGTAAGGCCAGTAACTCTGGTGTTCTTGTTAATTTAACACCCGTTCTCATAGAAATCACAGAACTAAGCGCGGCAAGATATGTTGACAATGTCGAGCCTTTTAAATGTTTGTTTTGCCGTAAGTAACACAAATAGTCTGCCACTTGAGGATGCGAGCATCTCTCGCTGTAAAACCCTTTGTTTGTTGCATAATTTTGAAACTTTGCCACTTGTCATCGCATAAAGTTACGCTGTTGAGTATCGTAAAGGCAAAGCGTGACCGCTTTTGCCGCCCTGGTAGAATATCCTCTCTTGTTTAAACACATTTTAATACAGTCCATACATTGCGAAGTTTGAATACTTCTGGGTTTCTGTGCACCTGTTTGGTGTGAGGATGTATTAACAGGTTTACGCGCGCTACAGGGTAGTTCTAGTGCCGGTTGACCGATATCTTGTATTAAGGCGGAAACCACGTTCTGGCCGGCCAATAGGGCGACCAAAGTGAGTTGTAGGCTCTGGCGTTTGGTTGATTTTCTGTAATACTAGAGGTATTATTGCTGGGGCGGAAACGCCGCGACGCATTGAGGCCTTCCCATGAAATGCTTAGAGCGCCTGTTGCCCATGCTTGTGGGTCTGGCACTGGTGACACGAATGTCGGTAGTTGATTGTTGAACCTTGTGGCGAATAGATCTACTAGCGGCGCTCCTATTTGCTTGATTATCTGTGCAAATATCTCTGTATTGAGCATCCATTCTGTCGTGACGGTAGATGTGGCGAGAGTGCGTCTGCTAGTATATTCCTGGCTCGGGGATGTGGCATGCTTTGACATGTAGATTTAGATCTTGGATTAATTCGAACAGTTGAAAGGTTAAATTCAAAAGGTTCGGCGATCTCGTTGAGCCTTGTCTGTTCACATAAAACGCCACTGTCGAGTTGTCGGTATGTATCATCAGGTGCGCATTCTGTAGAATGTTGCTCCAATGTCTTATGGCGTTGATTACAGCTTTCATCTCTAATGCGTTTATGTGGAGTTTGCTTTCTAGCTGAGTCCATAACCCTGATGCCGTCCGGTTGGAGAGATGAGCTCCCCAACCTTGGAGCGACGCGTCTACATATAGATGGGTCTTGAATTCCTGCTCTGCTAAACAAATCCCTTCGCAGACATTCGATTTCTTTGTCCACCATAATAGATGAGGTCTGAGATGTATCGGTAGACTGAATGGTTGTAGGTCGTCGAGATGTGTATTGACGAAGACCTGTAACGGACGTAACTGTAATCTGCCTATGACTGTCAAGTCTTGGGCTGATGTTAGAAGACCTAGTAAGCTCTGCCATTGTCGAAGTGGTAGCGGTGACAGTAGAGCTGGTGGAATGATCTGTTGGATCTTGAGCCAACGGTCTTCTGGTACGACTATACGGTTGAGATTGGTGATAAATCGGATTCCTAGGAATTGCAGATCTTGCGATGGTACTAGGTCCGACTTGTGTAAGTTTACTAACCATCCCAGCTGTGTTAGTAGCTTTATGATGTAGTTTAACTGTAGTTTGAGATGCTGTGGATCTTGATCTACTTGTATCCCGTCGTCGAGGAAGAACGCACTGCGTAGCCCTTGACGATGTAGATAGATAACAATCGGTTTCGTTATCCTCGTGAATAACCATGGGGCTGATGCTATTCGAATGGGAATTACTTTCCACTGGTAATGTAACCCGTCTAAGCGTAAACCGAAGGTATTTCCTGGATTCGGGATGTATTGGGATGTGCAGATAAGCATCTTGTAGATCTATACTGCCCATGTAGTCCATGGGGCGAATCATCTGCCGTAGCTGCGGTAGATGTAGCATAGTGAACCTGGGTGGTTTGTTTAAGTAAGTCTTGTTGAAGAAGCTCATGTTGTAAATGAGTCTGTATTTCTCCTTGAGTTCTTCTTGGGTACTAGGAAAACTGGGAGTAGAAACCTGGTTCGATGTTTCCTTGCTCTATTACTTCTATGGCCTGCTTGGTTAGGAGTAATGTAACCGCCTCTCTTAACTTTAGTAGTTGTTGTGCCTCTACCTCGAACTTGTGAGGGTTGACTGTTAGTGGAGGCTTGGCCTGTAGTGGGATCACGAAATCCGTTGAAGAATGTTGGAGACATAGGTGTCTTGAAGTATTCCCCAGTTTTCCCAGTGTAGTTGAAGACGTCCACCCACTTGTGACGGTTGTACTGGAACGGCTGGGGGTGGAAGACTCCAGTCGTTCCGAACCTGTCTTTCAGCGCTTATAGTTGCGGGGAACCTCTGGGTGTCCTGCCTCGTCCTGACCCTCCTCTATAGTTTGCCATATGGGCGCGAAAAGAATCTCTTCCCCTGGAACTGGCAATCTTCCTGTCTCTAGCTCTTTGTAGGCCCGTGAATTTAGATCTCCCTGAGTATCTTTGTGAAGTCTGTCGAATGACACTGGCTAGCGTGTCCATCGATTTAATCATCAGGACTTCTCTAGAATCCTTGGTGACTTCTTTGGAGACTGTGTCTATTCCTCCGTCAAATATGGATGGGGAAGACCACGGGGCTGTATATAGTGGAGCTGTAAAGTTCTCACCCCAGTTGCAGGAAGCTAGGAGGCCTTGACGACGAGCTAAGGTCAGTGCTGCTGAGACAGACGCCAGATGATCTGTTAAAACTGCTGGTCCTTCTTTTGCATCAGTAGGGCCGAGTAAATCATTCTGTCATCTTCAGAGGTCGGTGTTCAAATCTGGAGATAAGTGTCTCATTTATTGTTCTAGATCTATTTAGACCGAAGAACATGCATACTGGCCATGGTTTCTATCTGAACCAATTTCCGATCATCAATCTTGTAGTACTTGTTCTTGGCATCGGAGATCAGCTTATAGTTCTCATCGATGTCTTGCGCTTTGAAGAAGGGTTCCATATTATGCGTGGAGAACTTCTTGGCGCTGAAATTTGGCAGATGTGGCGTCTGAACCTTTGTGGCTTTGTTAAATGCTGTATCTAGGTTCTGAGGTACCGCCTCAATCGGGTCGATTGGGGGTAGTGTAATAGCATCTGCGTCATCTTCTTTCATCAGATAAGTCTGCGCCTTATTGCCACTCTTGGAAGGTGATGAGAGATCTAGATTATTGACCATCCAATATCTTATCTCTGCATCTGAGAAAATAATTCCTCCATCATCTTCCATTCCATCATCATAGATAAGAGGTTGTTGCTCTTCTGATGTAGGGCTGTGTGGCTCTATCTCTATATCGTTTGACGCTTGTGGAGATCTAGTTGTAGGCTTATGTGCAGACCTGTGAGGTGATCGACGTGGTGATCGGCGAGGTGATCGTCTTGGTGATCTATATCGATAGGTTGACCTTCTTGGCGATCTATGAGGGACTGATAGCTTCGGCTGCTCTTGTGTAGTCCCTTGCTGATCTTTTAGATGAAGACGATCTGGGTTCAGGTGTCGCTTCGCGAACGCCGCTAAGCGAAGCCATTATCGTCGGTCCTGGGGAACGATGATATGACCTTCGCGAAGGCTTGCGTGTGGTCTGGTGATCAGATTCCATATCTGAGTATGACGCCGAAGAAGGTGATGATTCTTCCGGCCTTCGCGAAGGCCTTCGCGAAGGCTGTACATCTGGGTCCTTCGTCGAGGTGGTCTGTGACTTCCTTCGCGAAGGCTGCATTGTCGTGGCTGCTACGTTGACAGATGGTGCCCCTGGGGTGCTGTCTACGTTGGAGCCTTCGCTAAGGCTCGGACCCTGGGATGGCTGCTTCTCCAGTCTATAGTGGCCTTCCATCATAATCATGATCTGTTTCATAAGATCGTTTGGGATGATCTGCGACGTAGTAGATGGTGCCCTTTCTGCTGTGTTAGCGGTGGGGCCCTCAGCGATCTCGTCTGACATCAGTGTAGAGGCATCAGGCTGCTTGTTGATCTCTGCTGACGTCACTGTCGCTGTCACTGGTCGCTTCTTGTGGCGTATGTCGGGTATGATGATCGGCTGGTCATCGTAGAGGCCCAATTCTGCTGCTGGAACGATCTCGTCTGAGAAAGTTCTCGATGACTTCGTAGATTTCCCTTTGGAGGAAGACGCTGCCCTGGGGGTACGAAGTCTGCGTTGAGAAGACGTTGAGGCCCTCTTGGACTTTGTCTGCGATGACTGGATGTCTGGAGAGGCCGGTTAAGCTTCTTAGAGGTGACGGACTGCATCCCACGTCCCTCTTCCGATGGGGTCTCAAGCAGAACACCAGACGGGAGGGATCACTTTCGACAGCAGTTGACTGGATGGGCAATCCGACGTATCGGCCATGTCTACACCTAGTTTGCGTGACCTATCTGCAACACGCGTCTCAAGACGCAAAGATGGTATTTATCAAAGGCAGAATTGGTTAAATTTATGCAGTAACTGCAGCGTGAGTCAAACGCACAAAGGCGTAGTACAACTAGGGCATACCACATGCCGGATCCGCGAGCGAAAACGTAATCTACAAATAGTACAGTTTTTCATCAATGTAAAACTAGCTGAACAATCACGAACTCACATTGAATAAACAGTAGAAATACGATTAATTATTAACGCAAATAACTGAAGGATACTAGCTATACCTTTATAGTAAACTATAAAAGGTAACTAACTAAGAAAAACCAAAGGATATAGTGTGTAAGGAGACACAGGCGCTCTCACATCCTGCTCACTGGGCGAAGAAGGAGAGAGTGAAGCATGAGGCCAGAGGGTGGCGACACCTGTTCCCACGCTTACGGCAGGGGAGGTAACTCGTGGGTGAGTACCAATTAGTGATTTTACATTGAAGGGAGCTTCAATTAAGGAGATACAAGTGTTCCACTATGTTCGCAAGAGGAAGGGGACAAGCAAAAGAGCATGAGTCAGGATAAGGAAAAATATGGATGACTTGTAGGGAGATTTGGGTATACATCCTTATACTTCGTCAAGCAAGACATAAACATGATAAATCAACACATTTGAAAAAAAATCAGACAGTTTGGTTTGTTTCTTCTCAACTGATGATTCAAGAGCAATTTTCTCGGTGACACTTTTTAAATTGTCAATGTGGGACAGAAAGTGTGTCTCGCTAGACGAAGCAAAGTGCTTCATTTCCATGCACATTTTGAGCAAGTCTCTCATTGTCATGGAGGACTGCTTCTCTGGAACCTCTGTCTCTTTGTCGGAGAAAGAATGCACTGTCTTCTTCCTTGGGTGTTGCCGTCAGCAGTTGATCCTCCCACTCTGGCGTGTCAGGGTTTTCTGTTGGAATGGCCATGTCACTGATGACAAAATCTGCTGTCGTCATGTAAGGGGAGAGAGTGGTGATGAGACTAGACAGGGGAATGTGTCGTCATCTTCGTCATCACTTTCCTTCCTGATTGGACTGGCATCAAAACCCCAGGAGACAAAGTACTTCCTAATGGTGTCTACCGACGTCTCTCGCCATACTATTGAAATCCAGTGAACTGCAACCAGCACTGTGATGGATTTTGCCAACTCATCTGCCGAGCCAATCTCTTCCATTCTTGTAATGAGGGACTTCATGAAATATGATTTGTATCTGACTTTAAAAGCTGAATAATACCTTGGTCAAGAGGTTGTAACACTGATGTGGTATTTGCAGGCAAAAACTTGAGTGCAACATTGCTGAGTGACACATCCCTTATGAGTGACAGGTGTAAACTCACTAATTACGTGTACAAGTATACCCATACTGAATGAAGAATAAATTATCTTTGTCGGCAACCATAGTTTCAACGCAGGATTAACTGGTGACAATACACATCTGGCCAACACCTCACCACGCGCCGGATTAGGCAGCGCTGATTACTATATAAACACACATAATCGGGCGGCTCATTTCATGCCAAGATCTGGAAATTGGAATTGACAGCTGCCGGATTGTAGAGCTTTTAAATGATGATAAATGTACTAGCCACGGACGGGACTGAGAGTTTATGCTGGTGTTGACAACTTGCCATTTTAAAAAGTATTAGCATCATGTTTTGAAAGATTTCATACACTAATTTTCAGTATACAAGTCCATCCCCAACTCACCTTGTGTCGGAGGCATCTCGGACATCCAAGAGAAGGGCAAGGTTGGCGAGAGTGCGAAGGCTGGTCAAGCCTGACTGGGACAAACATCCCTGACTGAGGTTCATATCCTTCACTATTCGAGACAGTCTCTGACCTGAAACATAGTAAATGGTTTTCGTGAAGGGAGGACAGCATGTTTCAGAGAGAGCCTCTCAGCTTAAGCACAAAAATTGGTTTCTGTTTGGAGAGGAAGTTGGAAAGCAAAGCTACAGATAGAAATCTACAATGTGCATTGAAAGTAATCTTATCAAGTGTACACCATTACTGCTGGGTAGTGATGTAGGTAGCAGGCCAACCAATACAAATCAGTGCATAAATTGCTCTTGTTATTTAGGATGAATGTAAATAACATACTATCTTCTGAAAGCATGTGCAAGAGGTACTTTAAGTCATTGATTAACTGATTTTGGTTTTACTAAATATATAATTGTTGAGTTTCTGTCGACGATGGAAATGCTAAGGATTTGTGCAGGTCAAACATCCTGGTATGATGTTCAGGTTGGGGATACCCCTATCTAGTGTATATGGACCCATCCTGGGTATTACACCCCAACTAAGTGAATAAACGCGCCCTATCGAGCCCATAAAACGGCAATCTCACCATCCGCGGCGCTCACACGGAACGTCGCGCAGTATGGTGAGGTTATTTTTGCTTAGTACGGTATTCCTTCTAACCATACCCCATGCATCAACAGTCCCACATTGCCTCCATCAGCGCTACGCTATCGGTAAACATGACCACTATCACAACATTCTGAATCAAAAATGGCCCTAGTTCCACCAGTATTGACAACACAGCAAACATTTTCAACACACACATCGCCCTTATCCCCTGCAACACACCACGTACCTCACCATGCGTCGTCCTCGTTGCTATCCAGTAATGGCGGCCGCTGACTGCACGTCATCACTCAAAGTACACAAATCTACGGAGGGCAAAAGGGACACATTCCATTTTCGCCAAGGGACATAACTCTTGCAATGACATTGATGATTTTATGCGAAAAAACACTTCACAATGTAACAATGACACCGACAGAGGTTCTAAAGGTGAAAAATCAACTAGCAAACCAGTACTTACACATGTCATTGCTGCTCACACATGACATACATGTCATAGACCACAAACACAAGTGCACACAACTAATAATTAACTGATCTCATAGAGTAATGGACTTGACAATGTTATGTGCTGGCAAGCATACATTATATACCCACTAATAACAGTAACATTTGGTGAAGGATTAACATAATGTGAGCATATGAAATTCATGAACTGTCGCGTTATGACTTATTGTGTATTTTGCTGATTTTGCAGATGTAACAAATGTATTCAACAAACATCAACATGCCAAAGAGAAAAATTAATAACTGCAGCTGTCGTTCACATGACAAATATACAAGTCATTCCTCTGCATACAAAGTGTCAAAGATTTCATCACGTGTTCATCCGAAATCTATCATAGATTGTTTAAAGGCTACTGGAGATTTGACACATGATAGTACTTATATATGTACTGGCTGTGCAAATCATGCAAAAGACAATCTCTCAAAAGAAACACAAAATCCTTCTGTAAAAGAAGTGATAAATGCCATAGAACATTCAAGACTTTCTGACGACGAGTTCCATGATTTAATCTCAGCAATTGGTTCATCTCTACATGCCTGCATCAACACAGAAACTGACCAAATGCGCAATGTGTATAAAGACAAAGATTTCTTGCACAAACTTGATTGTAAAAAATGGCTTCGAAATAGGAACAGACATTTAATTACTTTACTTTGCACGATGTCGAACCATCACATTGAGGATGAGAGTGACCCCCAGAATAGGAAAAAAAACATTCTGATGGCCAGAATTATTGAAAATCTTTGCTACATGTCGTGTGGGAACCTAATAGCTCCATTGGCATTTACCATTAACATACTTCAATATTTTCTCACAGGGAGTAAAAGTGCCACCACTTTGAATAATCATGTGTCACCTTCCGGATCTTACACAACCAATGCCAATTGGTTAGACAACATTTGTAGTCCAAATACATGTCCAACAGAAGGCTCTGTCATGGTATTTTTTGATAATAACCAAAAGGTGGAAAGAAACTGGAATGTTTCCCTCAATTACAAAACGAAATGTAGTGTAACAACAAATGTCATTTACATCCGCAACCCTACTTGTTCCATACAAACTCAACTGTCATTCTCCCCATACCTTTGGTTGCACACCGTTGACACTGAAGATAAACTTGGACCCTTACTTGACCAATATTCTACAAATTGTGTAAAATTATTGGACAATGTCATACACGATTTCTTACAAACAAGAATAGATGCTATCAAATTAGAACAAAGATTGGAGAATGGAGTGTTTGTTGATCCTGTGGATGCACATAGGCATACAGTACAAGATTGTGCCAAGAAGGAATCCGATGATCCATATGCTTTTATCCCTGAATGTCATCCAGTCCCTCATCCCTTGATAAGTCTTGGTGATCCCGTGATGGTAAACCCCAATGGTTACCAAAGTGTCGAAGAGGTGTTAACATGCATTGAAAATCAGACAGGATTGGGAAAGGACAGGGAGTGGGTTACCGTTGGTTGTGATGGGTCACCATACAACATTGTGGCGAACATTATCAGCAAATGGATGATTTGCCCAGTCTGTCAAATGGAGTTCAGGGGAGGGGAGCACCAACTTCTTAATCATGTTCAACACGTGCATTCCAACCAGACAATTGAATTTGAAAAATGTTTTAAATTCCCAAACTTGTGCGTGGTTCCTGGCCTGGGCCATTTAGAAATGAATATGGTAAAGGCATTATTCAAACTGCTGTGGAAGCCATTTCTCAAACATATTGCCATTTTAAATGGTTTCCGATCACCAAATGCTTTAAAGTTTGCTGAAGCATGCACAAACCATCATAAATCATGGCAGTTCATCATGATCTTTCTTTTTGGAAGTTTAGATGAGTTCATTACGTCCTTCATTCGTCAAGATGTACACAATACCTCACATGTGAATGCATCTACCTTCCTGGACAACATGAAAGACACTAAAAATCCTAATCACAAGTTCCTATGGAATGTCTTGTTGAAATTTGTGATCCCATTGTTCATATTCCGGTCAGCAGTGCGCCGAAACAACCCTGCTCTCATATTGGCATCCAAGCATGTAATGAGTAATCTGTTTTATGGCATGAACAATACAACATATCAACAGATAATGTTCCGAGACGAGACTCTGCGATGTTTAGCACCTCCAGAGGTATTGAAACACATACAAGAATGTGAAGTAGTTTCACAGTCCAGACACAAGAGCAAAGGAGAGGGGGGAGACTTTGTCTTGGAGTCTTGGAACCGACGTATCAAGATGTGGATACCTCCGGGGGTACCAAGTGAGCAGACATGGAGGCGTAGTTGTCGCAATCTAGAGAGACTGGAGCAGGTATATTTTTCCAACCTAGGTCCTCAAAACTGATTATTTATTCATACAATGATCCTATAATCATCCATGGTTCTATTTCTATCTGATATGAACTGGGTTTGCAGGTGTCACTGGTTGGTGTATTTTGGCGGAACAAGTATTATATGTGTAATATCTGATTCAATCCTTAGGCTTTACATGCCCTAATTTCACATTACAAATCAACGCAAGTCGAGACCAAACCAACAGAGTAAGGGGTTATTGTATACAGAATGAATCAATATAACACCATTTAGTTTCATGTCTTCATGTTTAATGAATTGTGAGTTGGACAGTACATTTTCAATGGTTTTAAGTTCCTTGATGATGATATGTGGATGCCCAGACATGAAATATGACACCAATAAGTGCACGTTGTGTCACTCTCATGGTCACACCCTATCCACTCCTTGAGGCGTGGGTCGGATGTGCCATACTCTACATGACACAACGGGCACTTATAAATGTCACTTTTCTCATCCTTCCTTTTCTGTACCGACTTTCTACACCGCCTTGTAATGTTTGTATTCCCTTCCGTTGAAGATGATGTTTGGGGATTTTCAGCAATAGGTTCCTGGATTTGTGGCACTTCTTCAGTTGTAGCCGTTGTTTCAGGAGGCGTTGGCTTCGGCTGCTGTATTATGTGGGTAGGGGGGAGGGATGGTCACACTTTTTGTGTGTAAGGGTTGCGCTCCTTCTGGTTCCTGTAATTATAGCAAATTATATAAGTATGATATATGTGTATTGCTCAATTGTTATATGTCAACAACCTTACATTTATTTATTACACATACATACCCCATATTTTACTGTCACAAATTGTTCCATCTATAAAAAGAATGGTCATTTTGTTTCTGAGGATAGAATATGCTCAATATATTGGTTATTGTATGTTGCAAGGATCAATATATCAGTGGGAATAGGATATCAATTGTTATTTAAAGTTAATTATTTTCCATGTAGATGCGGGAAACTGTCTACAAGGTGATAGGCATCCACGAAGTAGATTCCTTTTCGACCATTACAACAAGGACTATGGCCCCCCGAAATCATGGGATGGCGTTGTTGGTTGCGATCCATGAAGTATTTGTGTGACCCACTCCAAGATGGCATTCATACAGGTAATAGTACACAGGATGATATGACCTTTAGTATACGTAATTGTCACTATGGTTGATATGGTCCAAGTGTAATATTCGCTTCATATATCTGAAGTTTGAGGTAAATACAAATCATTAACAACACGTCTTTAGTTCATTATACATTTACTACATATTATCGCTTTTCATACAGGAAATGAAATTCATTAATGTTTGTGAATTATAGGTCTTGATCCAACCATGCTTCTTGACAAGGAATTAGTTCACTGTGTGGATTTGTGTCAGCAAAACAGAGCTTTATACAGGTATATTCATATCTTGGTTTTGGGTAAACGATACATTTACTTCAAATGAGGTAACATCATCAGGAATGACATTTGTTGGAACATTTAATTACCATTGCATATGCAAGTAATAATGGGACCCATTACACAAAGCAATAATGTAATGTGATCATTTTCCTCATATTGAAATGTGTAGCTTTATAGAAACAGGATGATAGGCTGGTATAACTACACAAATGCTCAGCAGGGATATATGTTGTATGGTGTTTACAGACGTATTGGTTTGACTGGAGATTTTAGCCGCAGAGGCAGACCCTTGATGCGCATATACATCACACCAGAGGAAAGGCAGGCCAAAGAAAAATTAGAGTCTAAAACCAAAGATGAACTGATCAGTTTGGTACAGTTAAAGCTACAACAGAATGACGTAAGTTACTTAATAATGGTTGATATACTGAATTGTAATGTCAGTTTTTCACCCTATGTAATTGCACCTATTGTGATTGTGATAGCTGCATTGATGGTGATGCATGTTAACAATGTATTTCCATGAAATCATTTACATGAATAAGTCCGTTTCCAACCATTATGTCCTTACAAGATGGACAATGAATGGAGTCAGAAGTGGAAGGATGTGAGACGGGGAAATAAGGCCGGGATCCTCGCTTTCATTGGTGAACTAGTGGAGGCAATTGAAGAACAAGTCGTATGTGAAGAAGGTAGCTTAAGATTTTCTACTCAATACAAGTCAGTATGTTAGCATGGAATTATGTTATGACAAATCAGACAAACCATTTTTATTAATGTCGCTTTTCTTTTGTGGAAGCTTTTGGAGCGGTCCGATGCATTTGGCATGTAGTTTTGGCCTCTGGGTCCAGTGTGATGCACACCCTTTTTTCGGGAGGGTGCTGTCTCATCCCCTTTGGACCATTTAGCTCTTCTCGTTTTTCCCAACAATTTGATTTTACTTTCCTGAATGACAGATTTCATCCTTCAATTTATACAGGTTACATATCAATCAATATAATTTGATATATATGTCAATTTGTAGAGTATATTACGATCATTAGTAGCCATTACTCTATGGGATCAGTTATTTATTAGTTGTGTGCACTTGTGTTTGTGGTCTATGACATGTATGTCATGTGTGAGCAGCAATGACATGTGTAAGTACTGGTTTGCTAGTTGATTTTTCACCTTTAGAACCTCTGTCGGTGTCATTGTTACATTGTGAAGTGTTTTTTCGCATAAAATCATCAATGTCATTGCAAGAGTTATGTCCCTTGGCGAAAATGGAATGTGTCCCTTTTGCCCTCCGTAGATTTGTGTACTTTGAGTGATGACGTGCAGTCAGCGGCCGCCATTACTGGATAGCAACGAGGACGACGCATGGTGAGGTACGTGGTGTGTTGCAGGGGATAAGGGCGATGTGTGTGTTGAAAATGTTTGCTGTGTTGTCAATACTGGTGGAACTAGGGCCATTTTTGATTCAGAATGTTGTGATAGTGGTCATGTTTACCGATAGCGTAGCGCTGATGGAGGCAATGTGGGACTGTTGATGCATGGGGTATGGTTAGAAGGAATACCGTACTAAGCAAAAATAACCTCACCATACTGCGACGTTCCGTGTGAGCGCCGCGGATGGTGAGATTGCCGTTTTTATGGGCTCGATAGGGCGCGTTTATTCACTTAGTTGGGGTGTAATACCCAGGATGGGTCCATATACACTAGATAGGGGGTATCCCCAACCTGTCAAAATTGAAAAAGTCAAAAGGGCCAAAGAAAAGTCAAAGGGCCAAAGAAAAGTCAAACTTTTTAGAAAATGGAAGATTAGAATAAATTCATTACATGTTGTTGCAGTAGTTCTAATCCTAAAAATTGTGTACATTGTACACAAATCTCCATAAATTATGAACGGTCCCTAACTACATATTGATATAAATATGTAAATTATAAATATATTACTTTGTATGTTCTTATCTCAATTTGATCTATGGCCCTTTTGACATTCCTTTGGCCCTTTCGACTTTTCTTTGGCCTTTTTTAACTTTTTCAATTTTGGCACTTTTGGCCTTGAGCCCTTTTGACTACAAGCAATAATTATCAGGTACCATTTTGTAGCGAATTATATATATAGCGGCACAAACTCTAGAGTATGAAATAATGGCTCCTGGTTACCAAATTGACTACTGGCATGTAACATCCCTACATCGAGACCCTTTAATTTGTTTTAGGAAATATGAGTGAATGTGTGAGATATTATAGCGTGCGTAAATGTGAGAATACAGTGTCACTTTTCAACACAGGCGAATCCAAAGGGGGTTGCGCACCCACCCCTACCACCCCACACTTTTGTCCTGAAAGTTGCTTAAATGACCATTGAAACTCTCGTGAAAACGGGGGAAAATAAACTGTGCACACCACCTTTCTTAAAAAAAAGTCTGTTGTCTGGAAAAACGGGTCATGGTAAATTATAGATATTGATATTTTTTTTACGTTTTCTATGGACTATATACTCAATGTTACTGAGTTGGCATCACTATTACAAAGTGATGGGTATATATCAAATGAGATACTGAAATAAAAGTGTTTCGATGTGTGTTTTTCTGTTCAAACAAAAGAAATAGTACTGCGTCAGATTGATAAGTGAGTGAAGCTACGTAAAATATTCACTTTAGTTGCGTTTTAGCGATTTGTTCTCTGTTTTCATGTCAGCATATTTACATACAAGTCAAACAAACGGTGTTGATATTTTTCTTAATACGCACTATTATTTAAAATGAAATCATATTGGACACATACACATGCTTTTCTTAAGCACCATGATACATACTGATCCTTCTGGAAGTGTTTATAAACATTTGATACTAAAACATATCACCAAAACCCAAAGTAGTTCTTGAGGTGTCTGTCATTTCTCTTTAGAAAAAGTTCTGAGTAGCATTTTGTTAAAAGGGTAGCCAGAAATGTGCATGATAAATATGACTTGTTTAATGTAATACTAAATCGCCTTCATTTTCAAAAACATATGATATGCCATTTGAATTGAATCAGCGTATGAATACAATAACAAGGGTCATCGGGTAATATTTCAAAATGGTGGACAGGAAGATACTACTTGGCCTGGCTTCAAGATGATTGGAGACGGTGTTTACGGAATTGCGTGGTGTTTGTTGTGTCTGTGAATTACGAGTTATATTCGGGAAGCTTAAAGACAGTTCACGGACTTTATTTGTTGCATATAAATGGTAAGTTCGCCATTGTGCTCGTGCACATTATTTGTACCACGTTCATAAACATCGATCCGGCCCACATACTGTAAATACACTCGGCAGTTTTAGACCACATAACCACTATTGAATCACACGTATGTGTTTGCGTCTGGTGACGGATAAGTCATTCAGCTTCATCGAACGCCCACTGTGATATCTGAATGATAGCAGATACGCACATTCGATGCGTCATTTGAATTGTGAAAAAAAACCTCACATGTCCGACTCGGCAATCCATTGAGCAGGTGCGTGTTTTGTAAACACTGTTGATCCAATGGCTTTACTTAATCTTGTATTAGAGATTATGGCCGATTGATCTTCAGGTATCCAAGATGTGGGCTATGATCATGACTATTGGCGTGTTTTGGACATGTTTAGTATCTGACTATTTGGAAATGTTCCAATCTAAACGTAACTGAGTGCATGCCACCTCTGGTCATCGATCTTGGTTATTACTGCCCACACGTTGTCTGATGGATCTAGTACGTCTAATGACTTCTTTTGTAACTGATTGCAAAATATCAAGACAATATGCTGTCAAACCACACTCATCACATGGAATCACAAGTACACAACTGGGAAAGATTTCCACCCGTAACCCCCGTATTTCTTTAAATCATTATATCCCAAAGAATATACGCCAATGTTTTTTGTAAACAGCCTATACTAAACCCTAACCCTAAAATCTAAGTTCTAACCACAAACCTAACCCTAAACCCTCGAAATAACCCTAATAAATAGAATACAATTCAAGCGGGGATTACGGTCGGAACTCTTATAGTCTTACCCACAACTGTATCTACATTTGAGAATGTGTGTGATGATGATTTTAAGGGGGTCACCCATTTTAGTTGGGTGGGGGTGGGAATCAATTTTGTACACGTTTCTTGGTGGGGTCAGCCAATTTTGTACAAAGTAATATTTAAAAATTATGCTTAAAAAATATTGGTAGGGAGAGGAGGGTCATTGATTTTGTACATGACATGCAAGGGGGTCACTTACTTTGTACATAATTTTTTTGGGGAGAGTCATTCACATTGTACATGCTTCTCCATAAAAATCATCGGCCCCAGCCATAAATTATGAACGGTCCCAAATATAGATGTATTGTCTGTTTTCTGGGGTTCAACATCAAATGTGCAAACCTAGAGATTTCACTGCAGTTGTGATGCCTGATACATTCAGCAATTGCAGTGATGCATACATGCACAGAACTATTGGACAAATTCAGGTGTTTATTTTTAGGCATTTGATAATAACTAATCTGTAGAAATCATTATCTTTGATTTGGTAGCATTGTGGGGGTATTTTCTCCCCCAAAGACATGTCAAATTGTGTTTTTAGTGTACTGAAATGTACAAAATCATTTAAAATGTCTAATAACTGAATAATGATGAGGAATAATGATATTTTCCTAACAAATTCAGATATACTTGATTTTCAGCCAGTCTGATATTCCCTTATAATAATGAAAGATAACTGTGGTGTGTTTCAAGTCGAAGAGCATCATTTGAGACCCTTTTGAAATATATTTACTATGTTTACCAGTATACACCTATCAGATTCTCCAACCTCCTTTGAGATTGCTATCATGAGAAACATAACATTTAATGTTTTGGGCCTGAGTATGTGGAAAATAGGATCTACCTGAACAAATTAAACTACAGTCATTGCGTGTCACTGTCAAAAACTTTTGCAGCCAGTATATCACTATATGTATTGCAATACATTTTATTTGCCAATACACAGCCCTACTGGTAGACTAACGCTAGTCTCTGAATATATAATATTAGTGTTGGGAATTGGTTAAAATCTCAAAATTGATGATTGGTTCATTACAACCGACCAATCATCGAAAATAATTGGTCATTTAACAAATTTTCCTGGTTTTGTTTGTTAATGCACAAAAAAAAGAAAGAAAACATGTTTCTTTTGCAAACTGCACAAAATGCATTTGCAAATTTTGCATCTTTAAAGGATGACCAGTATGTAAGGAACATAAATTTCTTGGAGTCTTTAGATAAATTCAATCGTGACTTTGAATGAGCTTGCTGTGCTTATGAAATGTAACAGACAAAACCAACCTTGTGAACAAATATTGTTAATGCAAACAAGTGTTCCAAACTTGTTTGTGTTTGATTATGAGAAAATATGATCTATTTGCTTGGTCGTTTAGGCTCTGCGACCAATCTTCGATATTTTGCAATTAATCGAACCACCACTAATATATATGCTTTATATAGCAACAAAAAAACTTTTAATTTCTAAAGGAACCCCAGGGTGAACAGGGATTGAACCTGAGGAAATTCTAGACTTGCTTCAATTAGGGCTTGAGCAATAGCATTGCAGAGAGGGCTAGGCAGTAGGGAAACTAATGTGGTTCAAGGACTGTGAGACAGACTACCCTACTGGATGTAAACATCTGTGGTGGAATCTGATATAGGGAAAGGAAGAGAAAGATGAGGATGTCATGTTGTCTCTTACCATCACTGACGGCATGTTAGTAAGTAAAGTAATAGTTTGGAGTGTTTGTTTACATGATTGTAAATTGTAATCTAACGTCACAATCCAAAATGTTTTAGCTGCCAGTTAGGCAATGCCGTCATATCTACCTGTTTCAGTTCCTTGTAGCATTTGAGACCTATTCAAAGCTGTGAGGTGAGGTGAAATTGGGTTTAACGTCGTTCTTGAGAATATTTCGCTCATATGACGACGTGCATGCGTGTGTATGTGTATGTGCGGCTGCTTGTACTAGCCCAGACTCAAGCTGGTTTTATAGTGCTAGCAAACTGAGATGCCATGCCGCAGTGAAGCATGAATAACCCACGCAGACACATTATACTGACTCTGAGCCGACCAGTCCTTGTTGTACCCATTAATGCCAAGCGCCAGGCAGGGACCAACAAGTACCATAGTTAAACGTCTTTTGGCAAGACGCGGTCGGGGATCGAACCTGCGACCTTCCGCTCTCCGGGCGGACGGTCTAACCACTACACCACGGAGGCAGTCTATTCAAAGCTGTGAATTAAATGATATTAATGTAATTTTCCCAAACAACTACACATCTTAGTAAAACAACTATGTGTGTCTATTTAAGAACTTTAAGAAGTAGCACTATTCCAGCACTGCTCAGACATAGCATGAATTTGGAGAGAAGAAGGCTGGACATTACCTACACCTTGATTATTCCAACAAGCATAACCAAATCACAACTTATTAATCAATGTCTTTAAATTTAGCACCTAATTAATTTTACCGCTCACAGTGTTCTCAGATGTCTGTTTCAACCTGTTATGACATTTCTTTGGATATAAGGTAAGGGGCATGCCCATCAATTTAAACCTGCATGCATAATAATATTGTAGATTTGGACATTTTTTAGGACTCATATTTTCATCCTTCATATCTTACAGATATTTTTTTCAAATTGGAGTAGCACAATTCTAAGACCTTGTCTGTATTGAGAACAGATCGGTGGTTCAGTTCCCATTTTTTCAGAACTATATCTGAATATTCAATATTCACTGAAAAAGAGAGAACCTGGCAGGTTTTGCTTGTGTCCTTTTTACTTCATTATCAGTTATTTTCAAGTAATTAGGGCATACATGGCAAAGATGTTTAGATAATGCGCTGAACTATGAGAATTCAACGATGACTTCTTGCAATAACAAAGAAAGTTAGACCTATATATTTTTTTAAAACACTAGACCTGTTGGAGGAACTAATGTGCTGGGTTGTAATAAGACTCTTGGATACCAGGCACCTCTATTAACCTTCCTGCTACTGTGCTATTATCATAACAACTCATTACATACATTCATGCTCAACAGATTACATCTATCACACTGAAAGGAAATTCTATACACTGTACATTGTTCTGAACAATTATTTATTGTTATAGGACCTACATTCATCTATCTTATAAGTTGGGGTTGCTGTTAGCACCATTAAAAGACATGGAATCTTAAAAAAAGTGCTTTGATAATTTCGTTCTCATATGGTAAAATCAGTAATGGCTTTAGCAGTATCTTGGCTGTTTCACAGCACACTAATGACTAGGTTAGGTAACTTCGTGTTGGTCGTGTACCCCGTTAGGCAGCAGGCATGTGGTAGATGTTTACAGGAACAGTTGCCATAGTGACGGAGGTGTTTACTCATAAACACTTGTTTGCAGGAAGATATTTGTGTGTCAGAATCACAGGCTAGAGTTGGTGTATGAGGTAAATACATGTATTTGTCTACAGGTTATTTATCAGAACTGAAGTTGATTCCTAATGTTCACCTTTTGATCAAGTTTATGAAACCTTGCATGCTGCAAAAGATGTCTGCTGGTAATATACAGTATGCCAATGGAAACCACTGTATACGTCATCTGTATTTCCATAATGAAATATTATGACAAGGAATTATGGAAATTGAGAACTTTGTTTGCCAAAGTTCATGTTTTGTGCCCTGGTGATATAGTTCATGCTACACAGGGTTTTTTTTAGCTAGCAGTATATTTAGCAGTTTCATGTGTATTTTGATATGTTGTGTGCTGTTGTTGCCATTGGTCACAAAATCATCTCTTCTCTAACAATATGTGTCTGCATTGTGCATCTTACAGCATTGATTATTGGAAATTAACAAATATTGACTTCAATATCCCTTCCAAGTTCCTGAGAAGACAGTTTTGAGATGATGCTAATTGAATTATCCACTTGAGAACAGTTCTCTTGTGAAGGTGATTTAAGTGAGCTGTCTGGTCAAGTCTGCACACTTATCAAACAAGAAAAGTGAGATTCTGTACATTAATGATTACCCCTGGCCAAGATGTGGTTAAGTGGATCTGTCTGGAGCTGAGGATTGTTAGATTGATTCCGTCAAACACAGGAATGTAGGAAGAGATACAGACGATGTGTACGCTGACCTTGTCAGGTAAATAATTCTTGCTTGTCACTTGACGATGCCCCGCAGGTGAGGGCCATATGGGTTGT